ATACCAGATGTAAATGTACTATAGAGCAATAATATTTGAAACTAAGATTACAAACTAAAAGACAGTACAGGGGCTGGGGAGATGGCTCAGTAGGATAAGCGCTTGACTGGCAAACGCAAGGATCTGAGTTCAATCCCCGGTTCCGCCAAAAAAATAGAAATAAAAATAAAAATAAAAAAATAAAAGACAGTACAGTGGGATGAGACAGCAATACTGAGAATCAGAATAATACCAAATGGCCAATACCACTGTAGAGAAAGAAATAGGTGATGAATTTTAAAAAAGCTCTTTATAAGAGAAATGTAAGGAGCCTAAGTGGCCCAAACAATGATCAAAGAAACAAAAATTAAACTATAAAATACTTTTTAATTTATCAAACTGACTTCCAGTTTTAATATTAACACTAAGCATTGGATAACACAGGGGGAAATAACCTATACTACATGGCTGGTAAGAATGAGGAAGATGCGGTCTTCCTGGAAGCAACTAGTTCTCAGTATAAGATGACTTAATATGCTTTTATCCAGAAGAGTTCACACTTAATCATTTGACCAAAGAAAAGTATAGAAAGATACATCCAAAGATTAATCTATAAAAATGTTCTTCAATACCAAAAATTTTGAAACAATCTAAATATGTAATAATAGGAGACCAGATGAAAAGAATTACAATAAAGCAGAATCCTTAATAAAAAGAAGTCTTTCCTAAAAATTAAGTGGAAAAAATAAAACATAAGTTATAAAGTAGTCCTATAATAGAATTTCAATTTTGGTTGAATAAACAATTATAATTGCATATATGACTAAAAGTATATTGAAAATAATAATAGTATTACAAGATTATGGTTGGTTATTTTTATATGTTTCCCACGTAATTGGACAAAATTAACACATATTAACTTTAAAAAACTGACATGCTGTGATGAGGCTGATCTTAAAGATATGAGCTCTCTTACAGCCCAGCAAAACATGAGCAGATGAGCTAACAAGGGTTTAGAACTCTATTCAGAGTTCCAGCTTTTTCATGAAGTCTCAAATCTCTACCCAGGCTATGTCTCTTAAAACTTCAAAATCTTGGCATTACTTAAGAGAATATTCATCATTTATTCCTCAAATAACATTTTAACATTTTTACATATTAAAAGTTTGTCTCAAACAGGATGTAAGTCCCTCACAGGGAGAAATTCCCCAGCACACGGCCCATACCCTGGTACAGCACCAGGTGCTTCACAAGAAGACTGAACTAAGTCCCAGAAGACCAGCCAGCTAAAACACTGAACCAAAAGAAATTACGCATCATTATAATAGTTCCCCTTAGACATTTTATATATTCCTTTAGGTTCCAAACCAATACTAGCTCCAGAATTACTGACTGGTATTGGTTTCATGAATACAGGAATAAACATTTTTAGCTAATTTAAGCCAGGTAATAAGCATCACTCAGAAATGACCCTAGAAAGTAAGAGAGCTGTCTATGTTCATTGAAACATAATTCATAATTGGAAAGATATGGAAACAACCTAAATGTCCACTGGGGGGGAGAGGGAGAGGGAAAGGGAGAGGGAGAAGGAGAGGGAGATTATTCAGCCTTTAAAAAAGGATGAAATTGGAGGAGAGAGAGAGAGAGAGAGAGAGATTATTCAGCCTTTAAAAAAAGGATGAAATTGGAGGACATTATGCTAAGTACAATAAGCCAGACAGAAAAATACTTGTAGGATTTCATTTATATAGAGAATCTAAAAGGTCAAATGCATAGAAGCAGAGAATAGATAGAACTGTGGTTATCAGAGCTGGAGGAGAGTTAAATGGGGAAATGATAGGCAAAGCATAAAGTTTCATTTATGTAAAATAAGTCTACAGATCTTATGTGCAGCAAGAGACTATAATTAATAATATATAATCAATAATGTATAACTAATATATAACTAATACTACTATATTATATACTTGAGATTTGGCAAGACAATAGACCTTAAATAGTCAAACATAAGTTTAAAAGAATTATTGGTACTATATATCAGATACAGGAAAGACATTCATGAATAAAAAATTCAGAGAAGTGGTAAAGTGATATTAAATTTTAAGAAAAGAAATGTTACCCTATAATCTAGAAGTAGACACAACAGGAGAGATACAGAGAAAGAAAAGAAAGATCCCAGAGGTCAGTCTAGGATCAGTTAAATGTGCTTGGACAACACCAAGCAGGATCATCAGCCAAAACAGCAGCAGTGGCTCAAAGTGAGACTCCTGCTGTGGTCCAGAGCTATGGCTAAGTGACAACCCACACGGGTAGAAGAGGGTCATTAAGATCATTAATATGTTGATAATTAGAAATTATGAGGGAAAGTAAGTGTCAGGAGCTGGACATTCTCTGCTCTCCATAGAAGGGAAGAAAGAAATAGGTGTTAAATGTAGGCCAAGGGTTCTCTCTGTCATCCATAGGGAGGACTTCCCCACAGGCAGGCTTATGGACTGTGCTGCAGTGGCCCTACAGAGGGCCAAGAGATAGAGTAGAGCCTATGTGAGTGACAACTCTATGAGGTGACAGTTCAGGGGAGGGAAGAAACACCAGTATTATCTCAGGTTTTACACTTGTAATTCAGTGACCTATTAAGAATATATTGTAGGGGCCGGGGAAATGGCTCAGTAGAATAAGCACTTTCCTGGCAAGCGCAAGGGCCTGAGTTCAATCCCCGGTTCCACAAAAAAAAAAAAAAAAGAATATATTGTATAGGGACGGTCAAATAGCTCAGCAGATTAAGAATTTGCAAGCAGTCGCAGGGGCTGGCGGTTCCATTCCCAGGCCTGCTGTGCTGGCTCTGCCCCCAGGACATGCTGAGACAGCAATTGATACTGGGCGTGGTGGTGTGCACCTGTAACCCCAGCACTTGGGAGGCTGTAAACAGGAGGATCACTACAAGTCCGATCTAGTAGTGAGACTCTGAACACCCTGCAAACCCTCCCTAAAATACAGGAAAAAAAAAAATTTTCACTCATAAGAAGAGAGAAGGTAGAAAATTTTCATTTCTCCTTTTGAATACCTATGGCATTACTGTGATCCTAATTAAAAGTTTTTCCACCCTACTCAGTAATTGGGTTAATACATTTCAAAGGTTAGGGGAAAAGAATAAGCGCAGCTCTTGACATATTTATAGTTACCTATCCCTTCACCAAATGGCCTGATCTAGGCAATTATGCTACTTTAGTTCTTAAATCTGGCTCTCGCTTCATAATGCCATCAGTATATCTGTCACTGAAGGTCTAATTTTTTTCATTCCCCGAACATCAAGAAATCAGGTCATCTAGCTTACAAGAACTGTTGATTAATTAAGGGTAGGAGGCAGTGAGAAGTGTTTGGAAACTCTTTAGGGAATACAATTGCCAGAAGTTTAAGCCCTTGAATCGTCTCTTTGTGGGATTTTTTTTTTCTTCCCTAGAACAAGATCTCGATATGTTGGCAAGGCGTGTCTTAAACTCCTGGGTTCAAACCAAGCACAATGGCACACAACTGTGATTCCAGCAACCTAGGAAGTTGAGGCAGGGGGATTGCAAGTTTGAGCCAGCCTAGACAAGTTGGTGAGATCTTGTCTCAAAATTTAAAAAGTTTAGGGCCAGCCACATAGTTCAGCAGATTAAAGCACCTGCTTAGGCAGAAGCAGGGGTTGGAGGTTCACCCTCCTGCCCGTTGTGCTGGCCCTGCCCCTGAGGTGCACTGAGATGGTGAGTGAGACTGGGTGTGATGGTGTGCACCTGTAATCCCAGCACTTGGGAAGCCGAAAACAGGAGAATCACTACAAGTCCAATCTGTGTAGTAAGACCCTGTAGACCCTGTAGACACCCTCTGCACTATAATACAAAAAAATTTTTAAAGTTTAAATGAACTGAATTTTGTGTAGCTCGGCACAAAGTTCCTAGGTTCAATCCCTTGTACTACCAAAATAACAAAAAATGATAAAACTCCTGGGTTCAAATGTTCCTTCTTCCTCATCCTCACAAGCAGTTTGGACTATAGATGTGCACCATAACACACCTGGCTCTTGTTGGTGTTCAAATACTTTTTTTCTCTTTCTTAATTCCTTTGGCTATCAATACCTGACCATGTGCCAGAGACCTGATATTGCTAGATCACTAAAATAATATATTTTTCAATGTATAAATTGACTTGTGAAGTTATTGTTACCTCTGCTATTAACTTTTATTTCTCTATTAATATTTTAATAAAAACTATCATTTATAAAATTTCTTTATGAAATGTCATTGTGTAATTCCAGATACCACCTTAGGCACTTTACACACACTATTTACAGCCACCACAGCTATGCATAGAATATATATAATAATCATCATTTCCCATAAGAAAATAGAGGCAAAAGGATTTCAACAGTAATGTGTGCAAGACTGCACAGCCAGGGAGTCCTGGAGCTGAGGTGCAGAGCCAGCTCTGTCTGAGCCCACATCCCCTACACCCACTCTTCTCAGTGATGAAACATAGAAGCACCTTTCACTCATAACGTCTACTGCGCATCAACTGTTTGAGAACATTACATTTTATCTTTTTAATGAAGACCAGGATGATCATTACAGTTACATTTTCCCAGACTTTTTTTTTCACAAGAGTTAACAATCCACCAAACAATATTAAGGAGTTGCAGTAATAACACTTGCATTAAAATGTAACATATGCCTCTTACAATGTAGTGAATATATTATGATGCATAGCTTTTTGCCAAACTTTATATGTCTGCTCCACAGCATATGTGAACACGTTAAGAACAATGCATCTGACCACACTGCTGGATGCTGAGGTCACAATATGGTCTCATCTCTATCTGAAAGCAGACACAGGCAGTAGATAGCCAGTATCTTACTGTGGATGAAAGAAGCAATGTGATCGACTTCTCTGAAAGTGATATTTTAAACTACTTTACACATTTTTTGAACAGTTAAAAGTATTCCACGCTTTTTTAACAAATGACTTTGGTCTACAGTTAAACTTCCTACCTCCCGATCCTTGAGTTTCATGGCGAGCACCAGCTGATGTCTGTGGTTGGTGAGAGCCTCCCGGTAATTTCCTTTGGAGAAGAATGCAGAACCCAGATTCCCATGAGCTCGGCATTCTCCTGTCTGGTCACCTGAATTGGATTTTTAAAAAACATAAAATTTCTTTAAGCTGTTGCACTGTTTATAATGTATAGTGGTCATCTTAAATTTAAGAGCCACCGATTTACTACCTTAGATTTCATTTACCTTGTTTTAGAAAAGTATTTTTTTCTTCCACAAGACTCTGTATGTGGAGTTAAGGTCCTAAAACCTAAATCTCTAGACAATTGTTGTTATTGCTAAAAAACAAAAACTGTAGTCAGGTACTTGGGTATGTTAGAAATTGAAGGTTAAAGACCTTGTTACAAACCAGCTGCACCTCATTTCTCTGCTAATAAACTTTGACAGTGAATAATTATCAGTTTGTTTGTTCATCCATTTGATGCCAATCTTACTAACAGTAAAATGCTTCTTTACAAATGCATTAATAGGAGACTCACCATATGCCTTCTCTTCATACAATCCTGAAAATCCTTGAAAAATAACCACAATGGCCATCATAATCGTAAGTCACATTCATTTCACAAATGAGGAAACTGCAGCACACAGAACTTAGGATGCTTATCCACAAAATCACACAGCAGATCAATGGCAGAGCCTCTTAGCTCAATAGTTTGGCTCCATATAACTCACTTTTAGCTTCTGTACTATACTACTTCCTTACACAAAATTATAATGCATTCTAGTGGAGGTATAAAATTAAGGGATTTTTCTGCTAATATTTATCACTTAGGATATTATATTTGTTAAGTCCAAATCTCTGAAGAGGGTGATGAATGTGTTAAGCTCCTTCTCTTGACCTTTTGAAAGTCTTGGCACTTTGTTACTTAAAGAGTCCTAAACACCTAAATATACTAAAATAGAGGATGTTCTGAAAATGCAACTCATTTTCCATTGCATGCACTATTCCCATTCCTGCCAGGCTAATACGCTTTGCATTTCCTTTCTGCATTGAAATAAAGCAAAGAAACATAACTCTACCTAAGGTCTTGGCTACATCCAAGTCCTGCTGCATATATCCAGTGCTCTTCTCTGTGTTTCCGAGAGACCAGTAAGCACTGCTCAGGGCAGAAAACACAGAACCTCTCAGTTTGAGGCTGCAGGTGCCAATCTTCAGAGCAGCTTCCAAGACAACCACAGAGGCTCCATGGTGGCCAGCTGTCAGAAGTTCCTGCCCAACCACAGACACGACCACAAAGGGACTCTTGTCCAATTTCATTTTCTGAAGTTGCTGATAAGTGGGCTCGAGGGAGTCTAAAGAAAAAAAAAGACATAAGAATATAGGGTGATATACAAGACAATGTTTTCTAATATCTAACAACAAACATTTTACCTACTTTTATGGCCTAATTCAAGTATAAATGTCAGTCTTAAATTTAGCACCACTCTAATTGTCCACTAATCCTAAATGACTAGTATGGTCCACCATAATCCAGCAACTTCCTTCTCACTGTTGCCTTCATATGCCACACTCATTCACTGTTCTTTGATCATCATGTATCATTTTTGCTGAGTGGTTCTTCTCTGTCTTGCTTGTTTCTCAAAAGCGGTAACCAGAATATACAGTGCATGTTTATATTTTAAAAATGTATTATTTTTTTAAACATTTTTTTTTATTTTTTATTTATTTGAGAGAGAGAGAGAGAGAGAGAGAGAGAGAGAGAGAGAGAGAGGCCAGCTCAGCCCACCAGGGGGCGGGGCTGGCTGGCATGTGGTGCTGGGGGATTGAACCGCGGTCCCTGATGCTTTGCCAAGCTTGTTCCAAGTAGGTGCCTTAGACCACTGAGCCATCTCTCCAGCCCCTTAAAAATGTATTATAATAAAAGACACACTGCCATTAATCTCCATTAAAATATTCCTCCTCACTTTGCATGCATTTATCCCATCATATTTGCCACTTTCTGAAGCAGTTCTGGAAACTCTTTCCTGTCTTTATGAGGTATGATAAAAAATACAATCAGCTCTGCTGCTGAGCGACATCCAACAAAAAGGCAGACTCATCAAACATCGTGGCATGCTACTTTATTCACTGTGCAACTTCTGGTTCTTCCCTAAATCACCATGACAGTTAAATGTTTAGAACTGATTCAGGACATTGACAAGGCAACAATGGTGTGAATACAGACACAAAGGGGCCTGCTTAGTTTGAATGCAGCAGCAAGGGTTTGATCCCCTGCATGCTGTGCTGGCCCTGCCCCCGGGGCAAGCTGAGAAAGTGATTGAGACTGGGCGTGGTGGTGTATGCCTGTACTCCCAGTGCTTGGAAGGCTGTAAATAGGAGGATCACTACGATTCTGATCTATGTAGTGAGACCCTGTAGACCCTGTCCTAAATACAGAAAAATAAATAAATAAACTCACAAAAGAAAACTTCCAAGAACTAATTCCAAAAGTGACAAGAACAATGGGGTAGCTGCGTTTAACTAAAAGGAGAGAAGAGTCATGGTGATTTTTCTTTTACTGTAATAGATTTTTAAAATTTCATCATATTTTTGTGATATCTTTTTAATCATACCTCATATACAAGCATTCTTTTACTTGGTCATATCCTCAGCTCCTCCTGCCCACATCAATTCTTGTATCTAAATTTGCTTTGTATTTTTATAGTCACTATTACACAATTTGGTCATTAATTATTTTAGAATTTGCTGAATAGGTCAAATGTTAAAATATTTTCCAGTTAAATCTGAAAGCCAATGTAGGACTGTTTGCTACTTTAACTCCACAGAAAGTGGCACTGTGTGGCCACATGATAAAAAAACAATACTATCTCCACAAAGGTTAAAGTCCCTAACACGTCTGGCACTTGGTAAATGATTATGAAATCTGAATTTGAATGACCAGTTCACTAAACCTACTCATAACTTTTCCTAGAAGATAAAATAAAGGAGGCTACCCAAAAAACACCTATCATAATCACTGGTGGTTCGATGTTTACCACTGCTTTTGAAATCTGTATTCCAAAATAAAATTAACAGTGGTTTTATTTTATTTTCATGTGGCATTTGTAACGGACAGATAGGAGGTCAATAAGGCACAAGGGATTCTTTCCACTTCAAGATGGGTTTGAATATAGATGACTTAAGCACCCTTCTATCCTCCCTCTTCTCCCTTTTTTTGCCTCTAAAGATAATTTTTCTGAACTATTCCTGATTGTCCAATAAGCAGATGGCACTTAAAATGCATTTGTTGTCAGCTTTCCTGAAAAAACAAATCCACATTAGTTGTTCCACTACATGTGTATTAAAAACTATGTAAGAGTTGGTCTCTTTAAATCTTGAATCTTCTAGCCAACCATACTGTATTAAAATATAATTTTTACAATTTATGACTTCTCAATTCTCCACTAAGGAGCTCTTCTCTGAATCAACATTACCACAGAAACCTTGAAACTTACTGGTGCCTGAAGCATTTTCCCCCTTCAATCAGATCACTAAACAGAGAACAAAGAACATTTTTACACCTGTCAAGCTGCAAGCAGCACACAGTGCCAGTAAACACTAGCTAACCAATAGGGTTAAATACTGGCACAAGAACCCAGGAATTGCTAGGTAGAAAAGAATAATACTAAAATGCTGTGAGCAGAATTTTGGTAGTGCCTGCTGATGAGTTTGGCAGCCAGTGTTGCCAATGATCAGCAGCCCACTGGCCAAATAGCAAGGGGAAAAATAGATTTTAAAGCTGGAAATATTTCTTTAAATGGCCTCATTTTAGAAATCACAGTATCTAAGTAGTTAAGGATTCACCCAATGTCAGATAGCTTGGTAAAAAGCCAAGAAATCACTCAAAGCTCTAATCCCAGGTTCTATGACATCATGACACGAAAGATTCTTAGTTGCTAACAACAGAAATTAGTCTTGGCTGCTTTTAAGTAAAAAGAAATGCACCTTCAGTGACTACTAGGATTGGGGAAAATCCAGGCCTCCACAACCATGCTACAAAAGCTGTGTGGTAAGGGTAACATAATCACTGCAACTAAACACAGGACATCAGAGCTTGCAGTGCTGCCCCCACCATTGAACCTTAACCCTTGAAAAATGGTTGTTTCTGTTGTATCTACCACCACCAAAACAAATTCTGTGATATGTTTTCTTTGAAACCTTCACTGATTCAAAGGTAGGGTCTTCACTGTAATGGGAAAACTAGGAATTTGTTTTCAGCTTTTATAGGAGAATGTAGGAATCAGAAAACATAAGATGGGGAACCATCTTAAAACAGGAAGTGTTCAAAACAGGAAGAGTGTTCAAAAACTGACAGTCCAAAGTGACTGAATGCCATCAGAAATACTATGGTTTAGTTGGAAAGATTTTTTTTTCCCCTAGCAACCCTGGCTGAGATTAAAAGAGCCACTCAATTCACACTCAGAAACTGTACATCAGTAGTAGAAAAGACAGAGAACATTGCAACAGTTTGAAGACTGAAGCGGGTATGTGGACGAGTCCCAAAAAAGAAAGACATATTTAACTGCATAAATTTTCACTAGATGAAAATGAAATTGAAGAAATGAGATGTAAAATATCAAATTACCATTTGTATTTTGCAGGAAAGAGAATGTAAATGCATTAAATGATAAATGCTGATGCAAAGACAAATATAAAGCATATGCAAAGGAAGTGATTACAAGGACTACTGGAAAGCTTCAAGGAAGGGGAACATGATGGTGCAAACAAAGCAGGACTTAATCTAAGTCTTTGCTTTCTTCAGAGAGTGGAGGATACTTTATACAGAAGGTGTGTCCCAACTAAAGGAACCAGGGGAAGATAGTACAAACAATGGCGGAGAATGCTACACAGGCCAGCCTGAGCTGACTCATTGAGAGAGTTGAGAGAAGGCAGCTGATGTACAGTATCAGAGAAAACACTGAGCTATGGATGAAAGTATCTGTATTTTAAGGTCTCACAGCCTCAGTCTCCTCATTTTGTTAGATGTTTAAATTATAAATATACAAATCATCATACAATCTACACAAGAGCACATGAACATAATTATGTACATACATTCATACACATATGTATATATTTTCTCTATGCATGTGTACAGGTACATACACAAAAATGTGCATTTCACCATATATGAATTTTAAAATTTTAGTGTAAAACTTCTCTGTTTTGGACTGCAATTGTTTATCATTGCTTCATCATCACCCACCAGAAATTATAATTAGCAACTACGCATGCTTTTTTTAAGACGGTTTCCCAGGCTGCTCTGGAATGCCTGGCCTCAAGCAATTCTCTCACCTCAGCTCCCAAGCAGCCAGGACCTTAGGTTTATGCCACCATCCTTGGCCAGCTGTACAGGCTTTCAACGAATAAAGGTGGTTCAGATAATTTTTAATGTATAGATGTTCTCAAATATTGTTTCTAACTCTATTATTCTAATTCCTAATCTAGGGTAAACTTAGGCTATTAGTGAGGGGAGTAATTTTGTGGATTTTTATCTAGCTAGACAGAAGAGGATTGCGGCAGCCTATAGCCATTATGATGTTTTTCTTTCTAGAATCTATGCATAATACATGAAACAACCAATGTCAAACCAACTCCACAGGAACAATACAAAGGCTCTTTGCTACACTGATTGATCAGCTATAGTATGTTTCTGAAATGTAAAGGTTTTAAGAATTTACGATTAACAAAATCACATTTCCTGACATTTGAAGTGCTTGTAGGGATGCAGCAACAGCTTATAAAAAGTGGGCAATTGTATTTAACTAAGAGATATGCTATAGTGTTTCATCAGTTTCGATGTGCATATTTATCTACATACTTTCTAAAGTGTTGAATTTAAAGAGCCATTTCTAAATTTGGTGCCTCTCAATGTTTGTCACTTTTATATCTAAAAGGTTATGTGAGCATTTAAGTATCCATTTTCTTTTTTCTTAATAACATATAAAGTAAGGATACAGCTTTTAGTCCAGAGTTCTTAAAAATGGTACACTGAACTTTGAGAACCCAAAGGGTAGATCCAGGTGGCTTCTCAAGAGGAAGAGATATATGAATAGACACTGGACTTGTTGGAGCCCATGGTGTTTGGCAGGAATGGCAGGGTATTTTAGCTGGGAGTATCTGGAGAAGACAAAGAAAGAAAAGCCAGTCTCTGATACTAAGGCATGAGGGAAATTTCTTGGTGGGTGCTCATGAGGAGAAGTGTGGGTACTGTGGAGTAGTCCTCTGCAGCCACAGCACTCTGCCTACCATAAACACAAGGGTAAATCAATCCTGCTGCCAGTGCCAGGGTGAGCAGCAGTTGTCATCTGCAGAGCAGGCAGCATCTACAGGGTCGCCTTTCCTCCAGGGCTTGTCTCTCAAAACACCACTAGGAGGTTGGTAGTATCATTTCCTTCTACTGAGGACCACTGAGGTACACAGAAGGAAGTAGTCTTGCTCGGGCCACAGACCAGCAAGTGAGAGTGCTGAATTAGAGTGCAGTGCAGGGTGTTTTTAGTATACCATTTCAAAATTAGGTTTCCTATAGAAAATAGCTGCATCTAACTGAAAATCAAACAAATAGAATTTAGAGAGACTGGACCTCTAGACAAATCAAAGGTGAACCCCAACTGACCCTAAGAGAAAAGTTATGAATTCTCAAGCTATTTCCCACCAACACTTTAGAAAATCAGCTTCCTTGGAGCCTCTGGAGCTGGTGACAACACAACAGGTGATAGATAATAAACGTAATAATCTGTAGATTACTGAATTAATAGGAGGAGAGAAACTATACACAAGAGAACCCTCACTCAGGAGCAGCTTTGGCATCTCTAGAGAAACAAATACAGGTTCACTCAATCCCACTTGATAACTGTATTGTTAAATCCATCGTTGGCAGTAGCAGTATGCTGCACATCCAGATTTGCTTCAGCATTTATAAGATACCATGAAGTGGAACTGCTTAAAGGCTATATGGACAGGAGAAATGGAAAACGGCAGAGAATAACCAAAGAAATCACGTGAGACTATCAATTTATGTTTTTACTTATTTTTATATATTCCTTCATGACTTAAGGCAAATAAAATGGTGTAACTATATCTACAGGAGAAACTGTTTAATTGATATCCGGTTTGTGAGCATGAGTGAAACTATAAAAATAAAGTAAAACAGATTTAACTCAGAAACACAAGAAATGATAATAAAAAAATCAATTTTAATATGGATAAATATATTTATATAAGAACAAGAGTATATTAATATAGGTTAGCCCTGCCTTTAAAACGAAACAAAATCTTTAAGCTTCCAAAAAGATAAAAGCATAGGAACACTGTGCAGGTCATCGGGCTTTGTTTGCCTGTAGAAGCACCTTGACTAGAACTTTTCTATGTTGCATTTAAGAATTCCATACCAAAAACAACTGACAGAACAGATAGGACCTATCTGTAAAGAGCCCCAGCCTGCACAGCTATGCAACAATGACAGAAACATAGAAAGATGTAGGAAGCTAAAATAAATAGTGGGTTAAAATGAGCAGCAAATGCTGACAGATTTTATAGATTGCAACCATATGACCAAAAGGGGGGTCATTAAAATTTAGGGTGATGCACGAAACAATGCTGCAAAGCAATAGTCTCTACAAAACGTTAAGAGAGGCCCACCTGGAATAGATATTTGTGGTAAAGGCAATGCTAAAAATAACCCAGGTAAATTAAATTGCCTAAGGGAAGAGAGGAAGATATTGAAGTGCTCCAGGCACCTGTGAGAAGCAGCTTTCTCCAGGGTCAGCCTTAGGTCACTCACTGTAAGATGAGAAAGAACTGGCACATAGAACCCTAAGGGTGACAGCAGCCCTGAGAAATTTTCCACAGTTTATAGAAGATTTCCTTACATTTATCTAAACAAATTGCTTCAAAGGCAAAATGTTAAGTATGATTCTGCTGATAGCAATACATTCATTCCTAAGGCAGCAGCAGAAACACCTCAGAACAAAGAGAACTGAATTAAAAATGTTTCACCTATACTCTTTGTGGAGGGTATAGGAAGAGAATGAGGAAATGCCAGGAAAATGGAAAAGAGAGACAGGCTGATTTCGTTGTTGTTGCCCAATTCTCCACAGGCCCCAGAGATCCAAAGTGCATCTGCTCTGAGTCAGGGTTATTAACAGCAGATCCCACAGTGGGAGAAGCCATTAGGTTCGCAGCAAAGACTCAGCCTTCTACAGCTTAGAAAATTGCATGAAAGGTTTCCTTACCACTTTTTTTCCTAACACATGAAATCCCTGACTTTCAGGAAAATATTTTGATAGCTATGCACTGCCCAGAAACTATATGAGTGGTACCATATTAGTTCATCACACTTTTATTTAGCATATATTTTGAGCCAAGTACAGTATCAGCAAATATATTTCAATCATTTAATATTACAAATATTTTCACAACTAGATAAAATGTTGAATTATACTGTCATTTTAAAATTTAGGTCCATTTTCTCATATGAAAAATTCAAAACTGTGCCATTTCTAAATTGAAAAGAGTTCTGCTTGATAATAACCTAATTAGCATGAGACATTATGAGCTGCCTACTACATATTATAAACCTCCCTTAGTGATTCACCAACTATAACACTTAATACATGCTTTTATTCAAACATTCCCCAAAGCTCCTTTTTCAAAAATCAGTGGGCTGAGGGGGAGGGGCATGGCTAGTGATAGAGTACTTGCCTAGCATACATGAGGCCTTGGGATTGTTCCCTAGCACTAGGGTGAAAAATCAATCATTTCTCAAAACCAAGTCAATCTCTTTTGGGGTTTACACCTTCTCCAATCTCTAAACCTCATGGTACCATTTTCAATCCATTCTCTTATTTTTCCAGTATAAGGTAGAAGTAATAACACAAAAAATATATGTAGTCAATATGTCTTATTTTACTCATTTAATTCAACATACTCTGTTTCTCTGAAAAAAAAATGTTACATACTGTCTCTAGTTAAGGGCACCTTTCCTTTGATAAAATATATATAAGAATACCTAATGTCATCTCATATTTGATTATTTTTAAAAGGTACATTGGCTCATCAAAGAAAATTTGTTGTCTGAGGCACTGTGGTTTAGAATTGCAAAATTTTAGAACTACCAAAAGAACTTTTTCTAAAGAACCTTAACCTTAAAATTCAGAGTTGGTTTATTTACTCATGGTCATACAATAATGAAAATTTTAAGAATATAAATAGCCTACATCCACAAATGCCAAGGTCAGTGGCCTCTCCACATTACTATTCTGCCTCATTAATATCAGTTATCAACAATAATTCTTGATCTTCCTCTATCTAAAATATCATTTCTTGGGGCCAGGGAGATGGCTCAGTAGAATAAGTGCTTCCCTGGCAAGCTCAAGGGTCTGAGTTCAATCCCCAGTTCCACAAAGTCATTTCTTTACAAATTGGATAACCTTTCAATTATCAGTCCTTGAGCCTAAAGTCTTAGAAGACTAGAAATGTTCTACTTTAAATTAGTGCCATAATACTACTTTCATCATTTTTACCTCTCATGGGAGATTTCATGGCAGCCTCTACCATCCCCACCAGAAGCTGGAGACTCTTGGGGTCTTGAGCCAGTCCAGATGCAAATGCTGCCAGGGCATCTGCATGACGTCCAAGGTACTGGAGGGCAACACCCTGTCGGAAGTATGCCTGGAAATGAAGGAAAGATAGCATGTTTTACATGTCACACTGCACTCCAGCAAGGTTGGGGATTCTTCAATAGAACAACAGGCCAGCAGCACTAAGATTGAGATATGTTTCATTCAAAAACAGAATGAACAGTTGGTAACCAAAGGGACTTGTTCCTTCTAACATCACAGAATGTAGGCACACTTCTTTTAGGCAACTTGTATTTCAAACTGTCACACTTTTAATTTCTAGGACATATTACTTTTATCATGTTCTTTGACATTTATTTGTATGTTGTTTTTATTGTGTCTTGATGATTTTAAGAATTATTTATTATTCTGCCTTTAATTTCATAAACTCATCAAGGATAGGGATTTGGACTTATTTGTAAAGTATATAAATAAGAATAAATTTAACCTATGATCTATTTTTTCTTTATACAACTAAAAGGAAAAAGAACAATGTGTGATTAGAATTAAAATAATTTTGGGGGCCTGCCCCTTAGCTCAGTTCTTTAAGTGGCTGCTTTAACAAAGCATTCAGGCTCAGGTTGCTGTGGTTCGAGCCCCACAACTCAAGCCAGCCAAACCTGCCCTGAAGGCATTCAGAGCAAAAAAAAAAAAATAATAATAATAATAATAATAATAATAATAATAATTAAAATAATTTTAATGATGATTGACATAATTACATACTATAATATGGTGTTTCAAACAAAATATTTAAAAACAGCTACCTAAAGTAGATGCAACTAGAAGGTATATTTACAAATGAAATAAATCAGAGCCATGTGTGTAAACATTATATTGTCTTCCTAGTGTAAGAACCTGAAAGAATAAATTCTGAAAGAAGAATAGATGTAGCAAAACAGAAAGAAAGTGAACAAAAGGAATAAACAATGGAGATGAAAGAAAGGAAAAAAGATAGGGGAAAAAGGAAAAGGTAAGAAAAATCATGTAAGTATATATACAGGATAGCTGAGATGACTATACTACTAATTTCTGTCAGTTTTTTCAGAGTAGCAGTTAATGTTTTAAATTTTTACTTTGACCAACTCTACATGCTAATCTGTAATCTGAGCAACTACACTGAGAATAGCAATGTGTAATATAATAACCATGGTTGAATACCTTTCATCTTGTTCTTTTAAATGTGTATTTTCTCTAATGTCTCATCTGTTATTATTATACTCTTTAAATGAATTAAAAAATAAAAAGGACAAGAAAAAATTAAGGTTTATTAAAAGAAAGAGTTAATGTTTAATTATTTCATCAGTCTTGCATACCTGTATCTGGTAATCTGAACAACAAATTTGATGATAACAATACATAATATAACAATCATTGTTAATTTTCTATTCTTGTTTTGAAATTTTTGGTTTTTTTGTTTTTGTATTTAGTACAGGATCCACAGGGTCTCACTACACAGATTGGACTTGTAGTGATCCTCCTGTTTTTCAGCCTCCCAAGCACTGGGATTACAAGCATGCACCACCATGCCCACTTTCATTTGCCATCTCAGCACACCCAGGAGGCAGGGCTGGCACGGCAGTCTAAGGATAGAACCTCTGCCCCTACATCTGCCTAAGCAGCCTCTTTAATTAGCTGAGCTATCTGGCCAGCCCTCTTGTTTTGAAATTCTGTACCATTTGTATTGTTTTCTGTTGCTTTGTTTATGTCTTTGTACTTGGTATTTGTTTTTGCTTTTTTCTCATCTTTAAAATAATAATAATTTAAAAAAACAGCTACCTACAATGTGTGGGGTTTTGCTTAGAAACAGAAAAATATATATATATATCTTTTAATTGGATTAATTTAAAATTAATATTAACATCTATGATTATAAGAAAATTATAGATTCTTTCACATAACTAAAGAAAACACTAAGGGAAATGCTTAAATTTAAACAATTAAATTTTAAAATGGCTTTAAGTACAGAGTAAAACCAAGAAAACAGAAAAAGTGTTACTAGTATGTCAACAGTATAGGACATTGTATCTAATTAATACATAAAAGTGACATTTTAAAGCTTTCATTGGTTATATGACATGTGCTTCCAAAATAGTTTACCTTATTCCATCTAAATACTATTGGAAAACTATTTGCAACACAGACTTAACTTTCTTTGTCCAATATACTAAGACATTATAACAAATTACATTCATGGGATCTAAATAAAGTGCCAAATTCTGAAAACCATTAAATAGGTTTAATATACAATTTTGGCAATGAGCATGGTGGCACATTCCTACTATCCCAGTGTTTGGGAGGCTGAGGTAAGAGGATCATTGCAAGTTCAAGACCAGCCTGGGTTACAATGTGACCCTAAGACCAACCTGAACTGCATAGCAAGACCCTGTCTCAAACAGACAAAATAAATAGATAAATAAATATATAATTTTGTCATTTTATCTCCAGCATACATACAAATCACAGAATGAGACTAAACATCTTTCATGCTTACAAAATATATTTACTTATTTCACTTTTACAACACACTAAGCTAACAGGAGAGAGACAGCACTAATCAAGGTTTCCATTAAGAAACAATTCATAAACAATAAATACTCAAATTATTATGGGTTATTCAAACTTCTATTAAACCACCAGCAGCTGTTAAAACTCAAGCCCCAGTAAGATAATAACCTGTGACTGCACTTTCATTACTAATTCATAAGATCCTTTCCTTTCAACAGACTCAGCCACTGTTTTAATCTTTAATGTTTACAGACATTTTTCATTAGCTTTTTCATTTCGCATTTTAGGTAGTTTCTCTAATGCAAAAGGCAATACACAGTTTACATTCCAACTAAAAATAACCATATTTATGTAATACTAGAAGTATTGTTAAAACTTAATTTAAAATATAGTCATATACATTTATTTATATATGCATATACATGCCAAATACCTACAAACTACAATGATTATTTACAGGAGACAAAAATCTTAGAAGTCCCAATTTTAATAACTTCATATGTATATTAAAGTAAAACTTTTTCATTCATTACCTCACTGAAATAGCAACTGATTTCCCCATCTGCCAAGTAAAATCATTGAAAAGTACACTTGCCCTACCTCTAAAAATACAGTAAAGTTTAATACTCAGTACAAGATCTAGTCACATATTCACATAGCTCTAGAAAATTGTGCATGTTTGGTTTTCTAGGAACACTGAGAAGTCAGAAGAGAAAAGGCAAGACTGGACAATGCTTCTGACAATTTTGACTTCCTTTCTTCAGGAAAAAATGATGGAAGGAGGTGTAGGAGAGAAGTCTCAGCATCTTTAGTGCTCCCTATGCAAGTTCAGGGTCACAACTGATCCTGGTAAGACATCATCATCAGAAGCCTGTAGCCTTGTGAAGGTAGCATGGTGAGGCAAGTTCTGACAAAGCCCTGCTCCAGACTCCAGTTGGCCTCTCCCAACTTGCTTCCATGCTTTATTCATTGGATATACAAAGAAGCACTGAATAAAAATTATTCTTTGTATTTTTTTTTTTTTTTTTTGTAGGACTGGAGATTAGACCCAAGGCCTTGGCACTGAACTGCATTGCCATTTCTTCCTTCTTCTCTTTCTCTCTCTCTCTCTCTCTCTCTCTCTCTCTCTCTCTCTCTCTCCTCT